TAATATTATATGTAACTACCAATTCATCCTTAAAATAAACTTGATAAGGGTTACCAGATTTCTTATTATAGTTTCTAGTTAGTTGTTGTAGTTTTTAAATAGTGTTGCCATACATGTTTCTTAACTTTGAAAGCAATATTTAGTGAACTAGTGTAACTATAAAGGTTCCATGATTCTTGATCTCCGGAAAAAATATCCCCGGAAAAAAAAATATCCCCTTGACACGATATCCCCGACAATTAATACTACAATAAAAATTTTTGATAACAAACTATCAGTTATAATAATGAATTAACAATTACTTACAAATGTAAGCTTGAATTTATTAATAAAATTGTATTACAATAGTTATTTCAACATTTGGCGCAATTCAATAATAAAAATTTTAATTTATCAGAGTAACGAATACAAAATTAATTAACACATAAAAACATAATTCACAGATTAAGCATTGTACAACAAAAACATAAATAAATACGTAAATGTATTATCAAGTAAGAGAAATTGATCTTTAATAAATGTTTTTTCACAAAATTATCAACAAAAGTTTAATTTTTTTATAATTAGTATTACTATAAGAACGATTGAAATAATATGAATAATTAATGTGTAACCCTGGTCGGTCCAACACCGTGGTGCTCATAATTAAATCGCGTCAAACTTCTTTCCGCACTGTGTGTGTGGGACATTGTGTCAAGGGGATATTTTGTCGGGGATATTCTGTCGGGGATATTTTGTCCGAGGATCAAAACGCCTGATACCAACTATAAAATATAATATAACTGAAATGATCTTTCTATGAGCTTTTTCGGACAAGGTTACCATATATTATATTTATTTTGAAATACATATTGTATATGAAAATTATGTATATTAAAAATTAAAAAAAATTTGGGCATAAAATGTGAAACAAAAATCTGCTTATTTAAATTTTTAATCATAATTTAAAAAAATTATCTTGTTTAAAAATATTTTAAAAATTAAAATTTTGAAAATTGAACTTGAAAAATTAGGTTAGTTTTTAATATTATTTCATTTTGATAGACTTTGATTTTTTTTTAAATATGCTTGCAGTTTTGGTAAAAATTTTAAACTTTCCAGAAAGTTATTACTATTGTAAAACTTACTTTAAATAAAATACATTACAAAAAACAAAAAGCTGCCAATGTGTTATAATTATCCACCATGTGTTTTATAACTTCTCTCTGCTTTCAGGTCCAAGTCTATAAAAATAAAACGTACTTTTCACGCAAAATATCTTACAAGTATTGTATATCACTATTAATATGCCCTTAACTGTATGGCAGCTAACAAAAATTTCCACACGTCTATTTACAAGGGTAAAATTTGCACGAACATCTGTGGTTTATTTTCAGTACTTTTGCCCAAATGCTGCCCGTTGTGCCGATCACTTTGTACGTTGCGCTGCCGACGACGATTTCATTTGCGCAAGTAATAATATTCTAATGTCGTGTACACATTCGAAAATATTTGTCACGTACATACTGGCGTTGACATTACATAATTCAGAAATTTCGACAATTTTCGTAATAAATTTAATTGACACAGGCACCCAAAGTTATTTCACGATTGCAAGTAATTTTATGAATTCTAATTTCTATGAGAGGGAGTCAATATAATTGTTTTGTACTAAGATCTAACGTGGAAACTAACACACTCACATCATGCAACTGTTAAGCCTTTTGAGTAAGAAAGGGATGCGCGATCACACACGCACATGAGTTTCGCTTAGATTTCGATTATCTTTCAATTTCTAGTAGCGCTTTTGGGTAATTAACTAGTGACTTAAACGATAGTTGGGTTGTAGCGTGTAATTTGGGCTCTGCATTAAGCCAAGCAACAATTAGATAAAGGTTCCCTAAATCCGAATAGGTCAAATGAATGCCGAGGATATCGAACAAAGTGTACGTTCAAAAAAAGCTGTTACGGACGAAAGTATCAAAAAATCCAGGTAATAATTTTGGATGGTCTTAAATTAAATGAGTTGATAAATAATACTATATAGACGTGAATGTAACGAGTTCAAAAGATAGTTCGAAAAAAATTTTGTATGCGAAAGTCTATTGAAAGTGTGTAGCGCACGAACCCATAATCAATGGGTTCACCGTGTCGTAAATTCATTAATGCGATGGCATGGGCTACGAATTGCTTCCCATATTTTTTGAATTTGACCTTCAGAGTTCTTTTTCTGTCCTCAAATCACAAAAGAATCGCTAGAAAGGAATCGTCCAGACTAAGGCCTATTTAAAAAAAAAATAGTCCAAACTACCAAAAAGGTATCCAGAGTCGGATGCTTTGCTGTTGAGGATGGCACCGTTTCCAGTGAGCTAAACCGTTACGAACTTTTCAGCCTTCTTGTTGTATCCCTAAATTTTTGCAAGTCATATACTTCAACTACAAATACTACTTCTTGTAGCACCACGTGAGGCTCCTTTTCGATTATCTGGTATACTTTAAGATGTTTATCTACAACCTGGTTAGTATACTTATGATCAGGTAGGTGAGCAAAAAGATAGAAAATTTGCTATATAAATTATTTCAATACAAATTCAGAATTCGAAATGGAACTTTAAATATTTGTATACGATTATCAGTGAGTAATTTAACAAGAATACAAAAATAATTTAATTTCACAAAATCACCAGCACCACTTGAACGATTTAAATAATTTTCGCTGAGAAATAAGCGCAACAACAAAATTGGAGCTGCCGACGTTACATTATTTACGTTGTATGTGTGTGTGGATATATTGGATGGTATCTCGTGATTATGCATTAATTTAGCCAAATATCTAAGTACACAGTTATGCTTTCGAGATATCGCTAATTGAGCAGCAACTCATCGTGACGCCAGCACTTGTGCGCGAAGTAGATTTTTATTTACGAGTAATGGCAAGAGTGTAAAAGAGGAATATGCGATAGAAAACGAAATGAATTAGCTACTTTGTAAGTTTCTTGAAAAAATCGTATCAGCAGCATTTCATTGTTTTAGTTGCATATCAGCTTGTTGTGGTTGCCGTATCGCCTGGACTTTATGTTGTTATTTAAGTGCCTTCGTTTGAGTATTGGAGTGCAGTGCATTACATTTTGAATTAAGATTAATTAGATAATTAGATATAACTGATTTTAAGGAGTTTTTATTGAAACTGCATAAAAGCCGAATCGTTTCGGTTACTTATTTCGAGATTTTACGTTCGGAAAACATGAACCAGCAACGTGTATTTGGAGTTTGACACTTTTAAGGCTTTACAATTTTTGTGCCCTAGATTTTTGAATAAGTATATTGGAAACAAAATAATGATTATTATTCGTTTTAAAATCTCTTTTATAGCCAAAACTTTCTGAAGCTTCTGAATTGTGTAATAGGTGGTAGGAAAAGCTAGTCGGAGAGCAGAGCTTTCGTTGCTTGCATCAGAAATCGATATCTCGAGGTAGCATCTGAAAACCTAAAGCAAGAAATAAGAAACACATAAAATAACATCCATATGTATGAAAGAAAAATTGGTTTAAGTTTATAATAATCTGAGTTAGAGTTGCCACGTACCGAAAAAGTAAAACTGAATGTAAAATATTAAGCGCTTAAGAAGAATTTCTGGAAAATATGTGATACATTTTTAATTTAGAAATCAAAAACAGGTCCTTTTTATTTTGACACATTCTAAAATAGGAATTGATTTAATATATGCAGCTATCAAACGGAAAATAATCTTTATAACTTCAATTTAGATATAAATCGGTGTAGGATTGCCACATCTCCAAAAAGTAAAACTGAGGCTCTTAAGCAAAATTTCAATCAAAGTGTTCGATAAATTTTAAATTAGACACTTTTTGATATAGAGTTGTCACTTTACAAAAAAATTAAAACGATCAATTTATTATTGCATTATTTATAGCGACTTAATATTGACAAATCTTAAAGCAAGAAATATTAGAATACACGTAGCTATCAAACACAATGAAGAAAAATGTTGGATCCATTTTTTTATTTAAAATTATTTCGGAACATTTTGCCATCTGGCAAAAAACTAAAAACGATTAGTTCAACAAAGATAAGAGAAGATTCTGCAAAGTATTCAGTAAATTTTTCTTGGAACATGAATATTGAAAAATTTACATGTCCGAGCTCTACTTTACAGTCATACTATTTTTCATAATGAATTAAAGTAAATATTAATCAGGAGATTGAAATATTTTCTCTTCTCAATTTAAATTTATTGTGGCTTTACGATCGCAATGCGATAACGCTTGTTTTGGTCAATGTGATAACGCAGGCAAAGCTTCGATGGAAAAATTTCTACACTCATTGATCATTAATGACAAACAAAATCTTACTTAAAAGCAAGGTTTTCGATAATCTTTTTTGCTTGGAAATCGAGAAAAAATGCTGAGAGCCTATAATGTTCCAAAAGTGGAATAGTGCATAGTTTTGGATAAATTTCCAAAAGCTTCTAAGTAAAGTTTGTTAACTATGAATTTCACATAAGTTGGGTGATTGTGTTTGGGTAAAATTGTGTTTCTATAGCTCAATAAATATTTTTTTTCAGTTTTATCCTTCTGTCAAATGTTTTGCATACATATGTGATCTACAACAACAAGCCAAAGGCAAAGCGAATCACCTTCATGGCCTAAGGAAGGTCAGCATAAACTTTATTTTCGAAACACATGAATATTTGCACACAGTTATATCAATTGAAAAGATCCGTAGTTGAGCAGCAAAACAGGAAAAAATAAAATAAACTTAAAAAAACCCAAATAGCAAACAAAAGCAAAGAAAAAATAATTAAATAATAAATGCAAAGTTAAGTGTGTCCGCGGCGAACGAGTTCATGGCGTTTTGGTATGGCTCGTGTTTGCTAACGTATTTTCTAAGCGCACTCCGCTCCCCTGAGTGCAGTATACGAAAACATATGTAAAACAAAAACAAAAAATTAAATAAAGAGAGTACAAGTATGTATTATAATTTTTGGCGTTTTTACTAACCTTCCCAAACAGTGTGTCAACCAATATGCGTAGTAATCCAGTTGTGAGAGGGTTTCTTGCACTGAACTCTCGTCGTTGTTGTAAGCCAGCGTGTAGGTTTTCTCTTTCGACTTATTTTCAATAAATTTTGGTATATAAATCCAATGTAATCCAATTAAAAGTAATCCAATGTGTGGGTGTGTTGGTGAGCCAATTGAACTATTTTGTGGTATTCTTGGTTACATTTATACTGAGATTTGTGATATGTTTTCTGATTCATTTATTTATTTGTAAACTAATAATTGGAAAATTTTGTTTCTTTGTTCTGAATTTTTGATTGTGTATGTATATGTGTATGTGTGTGTGTTTCTGATTTTCGTTTAACTCGAGCAATCTTCAAGAACACTTTTACTGCAACTTCACAGCATATTTATTATGTTCAGCCCAATACATTTTTATTGTATATAATTTGTACATATGTTATAGTGATTTTTCTTTGTTGTTGTTTTTCATTTGTAACGCATAGTTGGTTGATTTTCTGTATTCTGCTAGTTCAGGTTAATGGTTTTTGGTTGTGAATTTTACTTTATTACTAATTATAAGTAAAATTTAAGGCACTATTGTTTGCTGGAAGAAAGGAAGACTTTGAGTTTGGCACGTTTGTTGGAAAAATTGATAGGTGAAGCTTGCATTTAAAGTGTTTTTCAGTAGTAAACAGCAGTTTTTTTTTGTTCAAATAAAGAAGTTTGCGTTTGGGGTTTTTGGCAGTTTTATAACTTTTTTTGTTTGAGAACATATAGCTTAGGAAAAATTTAGTTATAAATAATTTTTATTTAATTTCTTTATGTACTCTTCGATTACCTATATTTTTTATAATTTTATTTTAACATTCATTTACATATTTTTTACTTATTATTTTTAAAATTTAGTTTCTTTTAGTTTTTATTTGATACGTGCATATATATTTTTATAAGTACGTAAACTTTTGTTTAAAGTTTTTTTAGTTTGGATCATTTATTATTACACAATGCGCTTTATTAGATTGCCTTTTTAATTAAATGAAATTAAATTATATTTTTATTATTATGATAGTTCAAACACATTTTCAATTCGAAATAAATTTTTTGTTTGTTTTAATTCTTTAAATAAAATTCGCTTCATTTAATTACATATTTTTAATTGCTTTGTTTGGCTTATTAGCTCTGTTTTAATTTTTCATTACTTATATTATAAATACTATTATTATTAGTAAAATATGTTATATTTTCTAATTTTTATAGCAACTATATATTTTATTTTTTGTATTTTCTTTGACTTGGATTGATTTGCTTTATTTAATGTCTTAATTTTGTATTATTTATTCCACGTATCTTATGTTATTTTAACTTGTTTACAAATTTTTCAATTTAGAATATTAGTATTATTTTTTTAGTTCATTAAATTTTAACTTATTTATTTATAAGACTACACTTAATTATTAACTGTTTATTATTATTATTTAAAAAATATTAGTTTTTTTAAATTCCAATTTTTGTAAATATATTTGTCTATTTGATTTACTAATAATTTTTTTTATTTTGCTGTACTCTGTTTATTATTTTATTATAAGTTTTTGGTTTGTTTATTCTATTTTTATTTTGTATTATTATTATTTTTTATTCTATTATTATTATATACATATGTATAATAACTTTTATACTTCAATTTTTTAAATTTTTTAATTACCCATGTTTTTTATATTTATTTTATTGGATCCAATTTTGGTTTTTTTGAACCGAGTTTATGAAATTATTATTTTAAATATAAATTCGAAAATGTTTCTAGATATACCTTTTATATATTTTCATGTTTTTTATTGAAACTATGGGACTCTTTTAATAAAGTAATTAATATTAATTTAAATTTTAATGTGTTGATGCAAGTTTATATTAAGTAATTAATAAAAAAATTTTTCTATTTTCGATTTGCAAAAATTACTTCTTTTCCACTCTTTCTTATTCTTAAACGCGTAAATATACTTTTACTTGTTAATTTGCACAGCGTTAGAAAAACAACAAACAATTTTATTTAAAAAATGCCCAATAACTTCGATAAGTTAAATAGTTTTTGTGTTATTAATTTTTGTACGTCGCAAAATACTTTTCCCCACTTAAGATTTGGTGTATTCCGAAATTAAATTTTTTTGTAGCAAAATCTTAAAAATATTTTGTTTTGATATAGTGTAGACTCTTATATTGCACACATTTTGGGCTAAAAGATATATGTAGCACTGCTATATTTTTTCACAATCATTTTTGCACTTGTTTCATATAATGTGCATCTACTTTGCAGAAGTGTATTCACAAGCCTTTGTATATGAGTACATGTAATTTATATTTGTTGCACTGAGAATTATAAAGGCACATCCGCATCCGTATCCGTATCCGTTCTATAGTTGTTGCGTTCTTTGGCTATGCCGTTGCTGTCGTATCTACCGCGCGCGCTTCCACACATAAATGTAACTAAAGTTTGCGAATGGCTCAATCTCAATGTCTCGATTTTGGTTCGTGGGTTAAGAGACCACGACTACTACCACATACATACATACATACTAACTACACATTTCTGGCTTATACGCCAGCTACGGTGCTACAACTACTAACACTAATGCAACCGAGCTATAAAAAAAAAAATGGCGAATAGTAATGCCAACGTAATACAACAACAGAAGCAAATAACACGCGCACACACCTCAGGCACCCTTTACACACATTTCCAGCAGCAGTAAGAAAGGTACAAAAAAACGCGCACACACACCAGCGCAAAGAATTTGAAACGAATTCAAAATGATGATCGTACTGCAACGCCTCTGAATGTATTTCTTGTTTATTGTTGTTTTTGAAGCAGTGAGTTCTATCCCAATCCCAGCGCATGCACACCAACACACGCGCGCTTGTCGTCAGGGCCTTGTAGTGATCTTCTCACACTTGTATTCACTAAGTGCTTGACTGGCGCACTTTGGTTTTGTTATATTTAGCTCTTTTTGAATGATAAAATTCCAATTTTATTTCATTACACACCTATTTTTGTTTAAAGCAATAGTCTATAATAGCAAAACTAATTTTTGATTTACAAGATCACTTTAAAATCTGCGTTGCACTTTTATCAATATTTTGCGAACGAAAGCAAAGACGATTGAAGACAAACGCAATGTTAATCAGCGTCGAATATAACGATTACGACGGTGACAACACAACACAATCAACCAACCGACTAAAGTCGCAACCGCGAACTGAATTGCCAAAAACCTTGATACCGATCGCAGAAAACTAACACACACGCGCGCACATTTATACACGAGCGCGCACTCGCCAAATCCAAAACCTAAAATACCGAAAAACATGAAGCGTACAACAACAGCAACACAGTAATAAGAAACACATAAAAAATTGCGATCAACGCAGTGGGCGCTGTGGAGGAGCCGCGTACGTGTGCACCTACCAGCAAACTATATGCGCATAAACGCACACACAGGCGCACACCTACAGCACATTTGAAGCTTACGAGCGAGCAGCAGCGCGTCTAACTGCTAACAATGTGTGGGCCACATGCGAAAACGAAATTCTGCAAACCACGATCGGTAGTAAGGTGCGGCGCGGCGCTGCGTCGGGTGGTATAGTGCGGCGACGTCAGCGCTTCGGATGGCGTTGACAATGCCGTTGATCACGACGGCGACATTGACGCAGGCGTTATGCTTAGATGTGCACAAAGCACACAGCGCGGCGCAAGCAAGCAGCTAAGCTCCCGCGTTTAGGTAGGTAGGCACAGATAGTGCTGTAAGCCCATCTGCGACAGCGTGCGCGTACGTTGTTGGGGACTAGGGGAAAAACTGGCAATAAAATGACGTATGCGCGTGTAGTGTTGATAGACATACAAATATACATATAAACGATATACTTGTGCGATCTATGTATGCGAGCTGACAGCTACGCGCCCTAGGTTGACTGTTGAGCGAGTTGTTACAGTGAACAGTGATATTGCCAAATTTGTTCGATTATTTGAACTCAATCCATTCTGGTAATTTATATGTATTTACTAAAATTCACTCTTTTAAGTTGAATCTGTAGAAATGAGCTTTTCTGAGATAACTAGTATTGATAATTGCAGCTTTGCAAAAGGTTGGACCGAGTTATTAATAATATTTATGGGAATAATTACCGCAACGTTACGGTTTGATCAAACTAACAGGCAGCATTTTTTAGACTTTGGCTGGAACCTTTAGGTGTGACCCTAAGGCTTTAAATCCAATGCCATTTCATCTTGGTATAGATATAAATGTAAATATTTGTGGTGTACTTTGGCTCAGAAATTGGGTCGCTGGCGTAGTGAAAGTGAAAGTTGTTCAATAAAACTGACGTCACGATTTAAGGATCTATTAAAGCTTTAACATTGCATAAGCATAGGTTCTTTTTACTGAACCTGTACACAAGGCGTAAGTGATAGTGATCGCAAGACATTCCGCATTTCGATAATTGTTTTTCAATAGCATCCTATAAATAGGACCCTCTAAACGGTATTCTGACAATGAATTCTGTATGTATTAAAAGAAAATATTTTTTAAAGACAGTGGGAGTTAATTGAGGGATAAAGTACTTCCAATTAATTAAAAAAAAAAATGCATACCCATATTTTCTATGCGGCTTTTCTGCTCACTTTGTTTATAATTTTCTCTCTTGTCCCTCTTTGAAAGAAACGCCAGTCTATGTGACTTTTACTGTGTTCGCTACTCTCTGAAGCTTGGCTAATCGAAGATAACTTGTTAAGTGGCGAATGATTATCGATCATAAAATATTTTTCATAGAATTCAGCACCCTAACTAAAATTTGTAAATTTTTTGGAATTCTAGAAAGACATCCAGGAATGTATATACTATAAATGCAATTCGTGAAATTTCGGTTTCTTTGGAAAACTCACCGATTAATACTAGGTTACTTTGTATTATCTTATACAGTTTCCAGCTCGAACCCATTTTGGTTCGCTACGATCACTAACTAGATCACTATTATCCTCTCAGTTAGAGCTCACAGGCAGGGCAGGGCGCTGAAGCATTGGATCATTTTGGTACAGTTGGTGGACTGATTAGTTTCGCAACCAACGCTAATTTACCAAGCAGACAATCGATACAACATTAACAAAAACATCGCTATACGCAACTGTGCTTTGCAACTACACACGTAAGTGTAATAAATTTGGATGGCAATACACAGATACTCACTGTGTGTATATATGAATGTGTGTGTGTATATAAGGAAGTCAGTGTAGGGCAGTAAAACAATCAGCTTTGTTGCCTGCAAATTCGACATTCGACGAATTGCCGAGAACTAATAACAAAACACTCTAAAGAAAAAACGCACAAGCAACCAAAAACAAAAAACAATAAAGAGCAATCAAGCGATCGTGAATTAAACGAAATGAAAACGTCTAAACTGGGCGAAGCCCGCAACAAAGTTGTTCAACAAAAAGCACTGCGACTGCCGCTGCAAAAGCACAACGAAAAGGCGAGCCTAGAAAGCGAAAATATTATAAAAAGTCAACGACAACAACGGAAAAAGCATGCAACACGAAAACGAAAATAAAAATGTAGAAATAAAAAGGTTGTGCGAATTTTTGTTTTTGGCAAATGTTGCTGTTTGAAGGTCAACTTTACGACCCAAAAGAGCGCGACACACATACACGCACACGAGGGCTGTAGCTACATAAATGTATGTTGTCGCGGCGTTGCTATTGTTGTACAGTACTTTTGTTGCTATTGTTGTTGCCT